CACCAGATACTACAGATACCACCAGATACTTAAGGTAGTACCAGATACATCAGGTAGTACCAGATACTACAGATACCACCAGATACTACAGGTAGTACCAGATACTACAGATACCACCAGATACTACAGGTAGTACCAGATACTACAGATACCACCAGATACTTAAGGTAGTACCAGATACATCAGGTAGTACCAGATACCGCAGATACCACCAGATATTGATACTGACAGTACTACTAAACATAGTCAACACAAGTACCTGCGGATGTACTCTGTGTTCATCAGCGTACGTCCTCCTTTCTCTGTGGACAAAACCACAGGTCATGAAGTTAATCTGAGGTAGAAGTATTCAGTTCTCTGAGAGTACTCTCAGGTCGTCACTGATACTAATACCTACTACAGTACAGATACTGAGAGTATACTGCAGGTATATGAAAGATAAAGTATGAACCTGTCATGTGTGTAGACAACTGGCCATCCAGGTGGCCAGCGAGGACTCGAGCTACATGCCGGCCCGAGTCTTGGTCCTGGGAGGAGACGACCCGACCAACATCAACACTGAACTGAATACGGTGAGTCTCCTCCTCCTCATCCTAATCCTCCTCCTGCTCCTCTCTAAAGGAGGAAGAGTTGGCCTGGATCACTTGATGTGATGATGTAAACACAAAATAATGACCACATGTATTTATGAACAACCCGTCCAGGTGAATGTGACTCCGTCAGCCAGTCGGGTGGTTCTGCTGGAGAACATGACCAGGTTCTGGTCCATCATCCAGATCAGGGTCAAGAGATGTCAGCAGGTCAGTCTACCATCTCTATGGACTCCACCCCTCTGTATACTGACCCCACCTCTCTATCTACTGACCCCGCCCTTCTAAATACTGACCCCTCCTTCTTCTGACAGGGAGGTATCGACACTCGGGTCCACGGTTTCGAGGTTCTGGGTCCGAAGCCAACGTTTTGGCCGGTGTTTAAGGAGCAACTGTGTTGTCGGACCTACCTGTTCTACAGCACCAAGGCTCACACCTGGTGTCAGGAGGTGATGGAGGACAAGACACAGCTGCTGCAGCTCTTCAACAAGTAAATATCACGAGATATAATACTGTTAATACTACCATAATACTGCTATTAATCTTAATACTGTTAATACTACCATAATACTGCTATTAATCTTAATACTGTTAATACTACCATAATACTGCTATTAATCTTAATACTGTTAATACTACCGTGATACTGCTATTAATCTTAATACTGTTAATACTACCATAATACTGCTATTAATCTTAATACTGTTAATACTACCGTGATACTGCTATTAATCTTAATACTGTTAATACTACCATAATACTGCTATTAATCTTAATACTGTTAATACTACCGTGATACTGCTATTAATCTTAATACTGTTAATACTACCATAATACTGCTATTAATCTTAATACTGTTAATACTACCGTGATACTGCTATTAATCTTAATACTGTTAATACTACCGTAATACTGCTAATACTGTTAATACTGCTAATACTGTTAATACTGTTAATACTACAGTAATACTACAATTTATTATACTGCTAATAGTACCGTAATACTACTAATATTGTAATATTGTTACTACTACCGTAATATTGCTAATACTGTTAACACTGTTGATATTACCGTAATACCGCTAATAATACAATATATACTACCGCATTACTGTTTATACTGTTAATGCTACTGCTGGTACACTCAGACTGAACCTTATTAAAGTGTGTGTGTGTGTGTGTGTGTGTGTGTGTCTGTGTGTGTGTTCAGACTGAACAGTGCTCTGAGACACGAGCAGATGTTCGCAGATCGTTTCCTGCCAGATGCTGAGGCGGCCGAAGCTCTGGGTCGAACCTGCTGGGAAGCTCTGATCACCCCCATTGTCCACAGTATCACACTGTCAGGTACACACTCACTAATACACACAGTATCACACTGTCAGGTACACACTCACTAATACACACAGTATCACACTGTCAGGTACACACTCACTAATACACACAGCATCACACTGTCAGGTACACACACACACACACACACACACACACGGACAGACACAATCCACAGCATCACACTGTCAGGTACACACACACACACACACACACACACACACACACACACACAGACAGACACAGTCCACAGCATCACACTGAGAGGACCGACCAAAACGTCCTCACAGTGCTAACGTGTCCTCTTTGCAACGGCTTAGATCTGCTCCCTCTGTGTTTACCCAGAATCCTCTGCATCCAGCCCTCTGGCCTGGCTGCTCAGTGAGTACCTGGACAACGCTGAGTCAGCACGCCGCTGTAAAAGCCGGGCGGCCATCTTTAACTCTAGAGTGAGACGCCTCACACACCTGCTGGTCCACGTGGACACCAGCCGACCGGACGGCGAGGAACTCAAACCGCCCGTCAAATCAAGTGAGTCTGCCGATCCAGTTTAACAACACTGAACTCACCACTTAGGTATTTGAGAGGTGACATCATAATGGTGACATCACTGTAAAGACACCTGAACCATGGTCCAAATGACAGAATAAGACTTGAGTTGTAGATAGGTGGAAACATTCTGTAAACTGATCTTCCTGAATTTCCCTCCACTCGAAGAGAAGTTAAAATGAAACATGTTTCTACACAACGTAAAATTAAAACCGTCTGTAGTTATAGAAATGTTCCTCGCTTTGGGAAAAAAAAACAAATCACACAGATTTGCTCCGGTTTCAAAGGTTTAGATGTTTGTGAAAGGCGTCTGAATGCAGCAGGAAAAAAACAGGTTTCAAAGGGTTAAATGTACCAAAAATAATATTACAAATAAATGTAGGCTAATAGGAGAGTAAACAAATAGGAGAATTATTACAAAGGTAAATAAAGGAGTGAATTAAAACAAAACAGAAACATCAGTTTATGTCACATTTTATCAATCAGTTAACGCCTGTATATTTTCTAATAATATGTTTTATTTTATTTGTAATTTTTTTGTTGGTTCCTTGAGAAAAGAAGTGTCTGGCGCAGAGTTACTGCACATATAATAAGTAAAATTAATAAATAAGATTGTAAAAATATATTAAAGAAGACATTATTCATAAAGATGAAGATAAAGGTAAAAAAAAGAATAAATAACTTATTTAATAACTTGATTTTGGCAGCGTGCGTCCTCTGTGGTGAAGTGCAGTGAATGAAAATGTTTGAGAGACATTAAAACTTGTGTAAGATGAATTTATGATAAAACCTCTGAGTGTTTGCAGTCGATGTTTAAAGAGTGTATTTTGTTTTCAGAAGGTCTCAACCGAAGCAAAGAGCTGAAGAGTAAGTAACAGCTGAGACATTCAGAGACATTCTCTTTGTTTACGCTCTGTTCTGTAACATCTCATACGTCCACATGAGGACAGGAAGACGTCACGTCTCCCCCTGCTGTTTGACCTCACAACTGAGCCGTCCACGTCTCAGACGACCTGCTGATGTTAAAGCTTGGTGTTGTTCTGTAGTTTGGTCGTTCTCCTGTTGGGTCCCTCTGAACACTGTGAATCCCTCAGATAAATGGAGAGCAGTAAAATGATGTAGTTCAGGCACAAGGATAAACTTTGTACTCCATTACTTGAGTAAATGTACTTAGTTCCAAAAACCAGCTGTCAGGAGCTGATAATCATCAGCCACTGAATAATTAACCCTTTAAACAACAGACATCCTGTGGACGGCCGCAGGAACTCCATGTTGGCATGGATCTGTTTAAAATTCATCTGAAATAAAATTCATAAGAGTCAGAGCATTCCTTCTTCTAGCAGCAGAAAGCTAACGCTGACAACACGCCAGTGTGATGTGTCATATGACACGTCAAGTGCCGCCCCTCGTACACACCAGACACGTCGCGCTGCAGCTCATCAAGAGACGACCATACAGTCATTGTCACTGACAGATGTGTTCCTCCTCCTCCTCTGCATCAGCGTCAGATCATGTGTGTACAGCTGCCAGTTAAAGTTGATTCCTCACCTGAAGAGCTGATCTCCAGAGCTGTGACTCAGGAAGTATCTTTGTGGCTGTTGTCTTTATAACGACGGGACAGTGGGTCGTTTAGCTCGGGATATTTCTGGAGTCTCTCCTCGTCACACACAAGACACAGCAACAGCTACAGAGTTCTCTTTATACAAACATGTTGAAAAGAGAAGAAGAGCTGGTCTGTACGAGCAGAGAGCGAGTGGGAGGAATGTGTTTAATTCAGGGGGCGGCGAGGCTGATAACAGGACAGTGGCGTGAAGTGTCGTGGGGCAGCGAGTCCAGGAGTGCTGATGTGCGTCTAGCTGCCGCAGGTGAGGCGTTGTACGTTGAAAATAATCAGGGCGTAGTTGTTGACATGTGCCGTTTGCTGCCAGTGTGCTTTAGCCTCTAGGCTTCTGTCTTCCCCGTCATAACGTTGTACACTCATAATGACGTCATTACGCTACATTATGTGCAGTGCAAAGAAAATATTTTGCTGGAATTACGCAGGAATTTCCCCGTGACGGCAGCAGGAGGTCGTTGTTTGAATCAGTCTGTTTAAAGAGAGCTAGAATAAGAACAGTAAAAGAAAGAACATTGATTCTTTTTACAGCAGAAAGCTCAGGATTTTGTTTTCTGTGGCATGACCTTGTGTTACGTTACCTAACCTGTTACGTTACCTAACCTGTTACGCCACCTAACCTGTTACGCCACCTTACCTGTTACGCCACCTAACCTGTTACGTTACCTTACCTGTTACGCCACCTTACCTGTTACGCCACCTAACCCGTTACGTTACCTTACCTGTTACGCCACCTAACCTGTTACGCCACCTTACCTGTTACGTTACCTTACCTGTTACGCCACCTAACCTGTTACGCCACCTTACCTGTTACGTTACCTTACCTGTTACGCCACCTAACCTGTTACGCCACCTAACCTGTTACGTTACCTTACCTGTTACGCCACCTTACCTGTTACGCCACCTAACCTGTTACGCCACCTTACCTGTTACGTTACCTTACCTGTTACGCCACCTAACCTGTTACGCCACCTTACCTGTTACGTTACCTTACCTGTTACGCCACCTAACCTGTTACGCCACCTTACCTGTTACGTTACCTTACCTGTTACGCCACCTAACCTGTTACGCCACCTTACCTGTTACGTTACCTTACCTGTTACGCCACCTAACCTGTTACGTTACCTTACCTGTTACGTTACCTTACCTGTTACGCCACCTAACCTGTTACGCCACCTTACCTGTTACGTTACCTTACCTGTTACGCCACCTAACCTGTTACGTTACCTTACCTGTTACGTTACCTTACCTGTTACCTTACCTGTTATGCTACCTAACCTTGATTCTTTTTGTAGCTGAAGGCTAAAGCTACTGTCTTCACGCCATCAGGCTGTACGCTCGTAATGATGTCATTGTGCAACGTTACGTGTGATGGCGCCAGAGAAATGAGTGATGAATCCATCACAGTGCCTTTTTTCTGCTCATTAAATTGATCTTATCTCAAAAACTATGATTTTTATGAGTGATTCTGGTTTAATGACTTCCAGAACCTGTCAGCTCAGGTTGTACTGACGTCAGGGAGGTGAAGTGTTTGAAGAAACTTCAGGAAGTGACATCACAATAAGCAGAAATACCAACGCAGGCACTGGATGACCGTTTGTATCGCAGAGTTCAAAGCGTTAAATGAATTAATTACATAATTAAGAGAATATTTTTTAACAGACATGAACTCCAGCTGTGTTAGTTTGACCTGTCACAGTTTTTATTCTAACAAACAGGAAATTGTGACTGTTTGTTTTGGGACTATTTTCAGCAGCGCATTAATCCACACTCTGTGCTGTAGTGAGTGTTAGTGTCAGCAGGATGGTGTGAATAGCGTGTGTGCATGACACTAAACCTGATGATGATGAGGCGGTCCAGCAGGGGGCGCCGGCCGACTCTTCCTTGTCCTTGTCTGAACTCAAACATTAAAGCTGACGTCATCAGGATGCGTTTACACTCCATCTTTTTCTTTCAGTTTGGACTGCTCTTATTTTGACGGCTGACTTCCTGTTCCCATGTTGAGTAGAGACACTGACGTGGTTTCTTTTCAGATGGAAAAGAAGGACAGAACAGAGGCTCTGCTTTCTCTTTACGTTTCTGGCTGCAGTTTATCATTTCATTTTTATGATTTCACTCAACGACCGCTGGCGTCCTGCAGGAGGTAAACCTTTTAACCTTTGTCTTTCAGACGGGAAGGAGGGTAAAAACAAAGACACCGCTGCCGCCTCTTCGTCGTCATCCTCCTCCTCAGCCAAGCCTAAAGTGAAGAGCAGCAGCAGCATTGCAGGCATCGCCCTCTGTTGGCAGGGAGTGGTACAGCGACAGGTGATTTCTAACAGCCTTACAGTTGCTCTGTTGGGTCAGACATTTCTGCTCCTCAGACTTGAACTTGACTCCGCCCCCCTCAGGTGAAGAAGTTTTTGGAGTCAAGCTGCAGTCTGCCGGACTTTGTGGAGCGTTACCGGACTCTGTACCTGCGGCTGAAGAACGCCATGGAGGAGCTGTTCGGACAGCAGACCGCCTTTGTCCTCGCCCTCCGACACGGCTTCTCTGCTGCCCTGCTGCAGCTCTCCATCCTCAAGACCATGCACGTAAGTCAGGATTAACTCTGGTTTAACTCAGACTGACACCAGGCTCAGATACTTTTAGACCTTTAAAAGTTTAAACCTGGTTTATTAACGCCCTGAAGAGTTAAGACGACCTAAACTCAGTGAGCTCATCCTGAATATAAACAACTAATCTTCAGCTGGTTTGATTATGGTTCATATTAAGCTTAACTTCCTCAGACTTCCTGCTTCCCTCCTCTCAGATGTGAAGATTTACACCTTTAATTTGTCTCATGTGATCATAAACTGAATATGTTTAGTTTTTGGATGTTTAACCTGTTTAAGCCTAAACATACATACAACTCTCCAAATCGTCTGTCACTGATGACCCTTAGTGTTTTATGGGGGGATAATGTGTTGGACCATTTATTGACCAAATGAATATAATCTCATTCAGTCATCAAACAAATATCTCAGCTCATTTATTTAAGCAGTTAAAACTCTGTGCCTGTCCGTGAATCATTCTGCTACGAAAGGTGTCTTTTGGCGTCAGAAATCCTTGACAAAGCGGCGGTATTTGAAGACAGAATGAGAACAGGTTGGAGGGGGAGGTCGTCATCTCTGATAAAGTTGTTTCTGTCATGATGTGTTTGTATAAGTTCAGCACATGAAATCAACGGGCCGTCTTTCCCTCAGAGTCTCTATCTGACCCGTCACCATCACTGAGGAAAGCATCTGTTTGATTTTGAGGGACGACTGTGAGGTTGTACGTCTCGTCTCACCAAGATCACACATATGAAAACTTCACTCAGAGTGAAACTGAAACAGAGGAGCAGAAGGTTTAGCAGAATAAGAACTATGTGTGTGTGGAAGTACATTTAGATTCATCTTCAGCATGTTCACTAACTCTGTGACGTCACTGAACAAAGCTGATTCAACAGCAGACACCTGAGAGATGACGTGTTCCAGAGACCTCTGTCTTCATGTTACAAACTTCACTGACCTTCTGTTTGAAGCTTTGACGCAGCCGAGCTCTTCTCATGGTGCAACCAGGAAGTAAACAGCTCTGGTCATGTGACCATTTACACTGAGCATGTGACACCACAGATATTTCCCTGAGACCCTTTAATACTTCAATATTTGCTGAAACACATCGGTACATCGTTTGGTAACATTTTTAGAGCTCGATAACTGAGAACTTTTTTAGTCGTCACCGTCAAAGTCATTTAAAGACGAAACGATTCACTGAGAAAATAAATCAGAAATGAAAATACTCTGTCCTGTATGCTGTGATGTGTGTCGTGCAGGTGAGTGAGCGCTTCGCTCAGTACATCGACCAGATGATCCAGACGAGCGGAGCGGCGTCCAGCAGCGTGGAGACTCTGGAGCGGCTGCAGCAGTTTCTGGAGCCGATGCTCTTCCTATCGGGCCTGGAGCTTGCCAACACCTTCGAACACTTTTACAGGTCTGAACGCCACGACACCGACACAGCAGACTGATGACAGGCGGCGTGGACCCAGCTCACCACTGCCTCTCTGTCTCTGCAGGTACTACCTGGGTGACCGGCTGCTGGCTCAGGGTAACGTGTGGTTGGAGAGCGCTGTCATCGATCAGATCGGCAGCTGCTTCCCGAGTCGCTTCCCTCAGCAGATGTTGAAGAACCTGAGTGAGTCCGCTGAGCTGCAGCAAGAGTTCCACCTGTACCGCCTGCAGCAGCTGGACCGATGCCTGCAAGAGCACGACCAGGTCTGAAAAACCCACGACACCTCGCCGAGTTCATCTGAGAATAAAATCAGTTTGAATTTAAATCCTGCTGAAAGTCTGGTTCACAGGTCTGAGTTTGATCCGTTTGTCCTGTTGTTGTTGCCGTAGATGATGGAGGAGGAATGGGTGGAGTCAGAGGAGGAGGCGGAGGTTCAGGTTCTGGTTCTGTCTCCACGCTGCTGGCCCGTGTCCTCACTCTGCTTCCTGGACGAACCCACAAAACATTTTCCATCTGAACTCTGCTCCTACCTGAACCAGTTCACCCAGTTCTACACCCACAGTCAGTACCAGTTCACCCAGTTCTACACCCACAGTCAGTACTGTGCTGATGAGTTATTTTAAAAAACTGATAAACTGCAGAGTGGTTTCTGTTGTCTAACGTCCACCTGTCTGTGTCTCTAACGTCCTCCTGTCTGTCCCTGTGTCCCTCAGGTCAGTCCATGTACGGTCTGAGTCACTCGAAGCCGCGGCGGCTGCAGTGGACGTGGCTCGGTCACGCTGAGCTGCAGCTCGGCTGTTGGACGCTTCACGTGTCGACGCTGCAGATGTTCATCCTGCTGCACTTCAACACGCAGCAGGTCCGTACGTATGACATCATACATGACACAGACTGATGGCGTGCTGCCTTCACTGACCTTGGTGTCTTTCTGCAGGAGGTTCCAGTGGACGCTCTGCTGCAGGCGACGGGCCTGTCAGCCGCCTTCGTGCTGCACGCTCTGCTGCCGCTCATCAGCGACGACGGACTGCTGACTTGCAGCCGGCCGGAGGAGCCCAGCCAGGGTCAGTCACATGGCCAGCACGCCGCTAACCTTCATCCTCCTCCGCCTCCTCCTCCTCTCTGACTCTCCCCTCTGTCTGCTCCCAGGTGTGTTACAGCTGAACCAGCAGGTGGTGTCCCGCAGTCAGGATGGCATCCCCATGTACCTCCAGCTGCTGCCCAGACAGACGTACCTGAACGTGGACGAGGATGCGGCGGGCACGCTGGAGAGGAAGAGGAACTACATCTACTGTCTGATCGTCCACATCATGAAGCAGGAGAAGGAGATGCACATCGACAACCTCGTCTTCAAGGTCAGAGGACGCCACAGAGACATTGTCCCTTTAAGACACAGAGACACACTGAGACACATCTTCCTCCCCCTCCTCTTCACCGCTCAGTGATGATGTCATACAGCGTGACCTCTCATCGTCTCTAATGTCCATGAGTCCACTCAGGACAGTAAAGAGGGACACTGTCCAATCACGTCTCTGTCTGCTTTCGTCTTCTCCAGGTTCTGGACTCGTGTCAGAAACAGGAATCATCACGCTCTCCGGGCGCCGGGCGGTTCAGCTGCAGCACCAGCGACGTGCTCTCCTGCATCATGCACGTCATCAGCAAAGGCTGCGTCCGACGCAACGAGGACAACCCGCACATCGTGGAGTTCCTGCCGGAGGACCCGTCCACGCCACAGAAAGGACAGGCCCAGTTCTCCTTCAGCCGGACCGAGGTTAGGAGGGACGCGGCGGACTGCAGGGCCGACATCAGGTGTGACCTCTGACCTCACACACAGTCTGTTCATGTTGTTTAACCTGCTTTAGTTTCTGCAGCTGTCTTCATCATCTTCATCATCATCACCCTCCTGTTCTCAGTGTTCTTAAAGGACTGTTCCGCTGTTTCTTCTCCTGTTCCCTCGCCGTCTGCTCCAAAGTCACAGGTCATGTGACTGTTAACATCAAGTTCAGTGAATGTTAACGTCAAGTTCAGACCAAAGAGTCGTGACGAGACGAGTTCAGACAGGAAACTGTAAGTGACCACGATGAGATGGTGTATCTCTGTACGTCTACGCCGTCCTTGGACCTCGTCACATGTCCACATTTGGTCATCGTCCACATATGACATTTGAAAAACATTCATGACCAGAGGAGCTGAAACAGGAAACTGTGGTTACATTTAGCCGACACACACACGTGGTTACGTTTAGCCAACACACGTGGTTACATTTAGCCAACACACACACGTGGTTACATTTAGCCAACACACACACGTGGTTACATTTAGCCGACACACGTGGTTACGTTTAGCCAACACACACGTGGTTACGTTTAGCCAACACACACACGTGGTTACGTTTAGCCAACACACAC